GATTCAAGAAATTACTAACAATTTATTTTGAAGTTTCTGTCTATTGCGATTCTTTTTTATCTTACAACGAATATAGTTTTTCGACTTTTCATAAAATTGCAATAAATTCAAAATGTCAATATCAACATTCAATTATTGTTTATTAGGAAGATCATCTATCAATCTATTCCATGAGGAAAATCTTCACTTTTCACATATGACTCGACTCTCATAGAGTGCTGTATGAGATTGATTCATATGTCTGCACATTAAGGGTTTTATAGAAAAGTGATATAGAGACCATGCTTCTGTCAAATATGTGATCTATTGACGTCGCTCAATTGTCGATTTTACTAATTGTTATTTTTCTATTTATTTTAGTCGATATTTCAAAATTGTTTATCCATAACATCATTCTATTTCTTGTCAATGATTCAACCGTTTCATTTGATTCATTTGACATTTCAAGCAATAAATGAATTACGTGGTTTATCAACTGAAATTGAAATAAATAAATTTTTTCCTTTATTAATAATTATTTTTGTATGTGTTAGTACAAATTTTCTTGTTCATTTATTTACAACAATAACTGGTTGCTGGATGATATCAAAAACTGATAAAACAATTATTAATTTTCGTTGGTTATTAGCGAATATTTGAACTTCTTTTTTTGTTCCTTTTTTTTGTTGTAAATAGTGTGTTTAGAATGTTGCATCAGTGTGTCTGTGTGTGTAACTTTTTTTGTTTCTAGATAGAGTAATGTCAGCTTCGATAAATAATGAACATATAGAAAATGATCTTGATCAAAGTATAAATTATGATGAAATCGAACAATTAATTTCTAATGAAGATGAAACTCATGAAATTAATACAGAAAGTAGAATAACAATTAATTCATTGAAACCATCTGATGAAAGATTAGTATCACAACAACAACAACAGCGTTCATCATCTTGTATTACACAAGTACAGCATATGAGTCTTTCTCTAGAAAAATCTTCAACAAATCTTGACGAAAATTCAGAAAATAAAAATAATAATCAATCAAAAATATCTATATTAAGTGTTAAAACATCAAATATACCTGGTCCAGTTGGTCTCTTACCAGTACTAGTAAGATTATATTTTATTAATTAAGTTATTTTAACTAAAATATTATTAAAATAGAGAACTAATGAAGACTTACGACGTTTAAAAGAAGATAAAACAGCTCGTGATACATTGCTTACCAATGAAGAGAATATCAATGTTAAACGACCTACAACATCATCTGACGTAAGTTTGACTATAGATACTTATTTTACCCTAGTAACAAGCAGAAATAGATCGAGTTGTTTCATGTCGCCTGGCATTCGATTCCATGCCTATACAACATCTACAAGTATCTATCGCTCTATTGATATTTAAATAACACCGAAGAAATTGATTTCGTACTTTTAAAACGTGTTCATCGAGCAAGAAAAGAAAAAGGCATACGAATCACAAAATACTCCTATCTACCTTTGGTAGCTATCTACTCAAATTTATCTGATATCCTTATTCCAGTAATATGTGAAACCCCAATAATAAATTATGAGTAGAATTTCTTTTGAATATGAAAATGTAATACGATGGAATTGCTATTATTTTGAATGGAAAATTATTAGGAAAATATCTCACAATTGATTAGTAGTAATGTGTCTTGATATGATATGTATAGAAAGTTTGATTAACAAATATTTTTAAATGTTCATTAGAGATTGTTGGTAGATATCAGTATTTTTTACGAAACATAACGAAGTAAGAAAAACCCAATGTTCTTGTAATAGAATTTAACATTCATTCACACTATCAGATTCCCTTTTACTTTCATAGAGTTTTGTATAATGTGCCAATTGGATAGAAAAAATTCTAAGGATTAAGTTGTATGTATACAAAACGTTTTCAGATTTATATCGAAATATGATTTGATTTTTTAAACTAGTTCACTGAGTAAAAAATATTTCCTATACATTCAAACAGATCTTTTCTATTGCTTTGATTTTCTTCATGAGTACAAAAAAGATTGTCTCACTTTGGATAAGATGAATGGAGGATAAGCTTTTTTTGTATCTTAACTCTACCTTGCACATCTTCACTATGGATCAGATCAAGAAAAAAACTAAACGATTTTTGATGATCACAGATCAGATAGTTAATAGATTTTTAGTGAAAATTTAGATGTTCTATAACTTCCTATAGATCTATCGACATACTTATCAAGTCTCTAGTACAACTTATATAAATTATCCAAGTTTTAAATAAAAATTAATGAATGTTATTATTTTTAGCTTTTCAGTTTGAATATTAGCAATTATCCATCATATACAATAGCTATTAGACAATTACAAGAATCATTCAGTTGTGAACCAATCAGTATTCATACAGCACTTGTTAAAGTAAGAATAACAAATAAATCAATTTATTCATCGTTTTTCATTTTTATAAAACTAGGCTCGTCTTGGTATTAAAAAACGTATTCCACTTATGTGTGCAGCTGTAACACACTATGATCGACAAGAAAATACTATTCTATTAGATAAATCGGGTATAAACAACAATCTATCATTGTAATTTGATAAGAAAAAATCTTTTTTCTTTTCTTAGCTCATATTCGAGCTACATTCATCGGTGACGATGAATTATTAGATAATTTTAATATTCGTGTTGGTCATACGCTTGTATTACGAAATGTAAATATCTATTTATCTTTCTAACTTTTTTTTCTATATATCAGCATAATTTTGTTTTCTAAAGGTAGCAGTATTTACATCAACTCGTCATAGACATCATTATGTTAATATTCATTTACAAAATATAATAGCTATGCAAGATCCATTAAGTAATTTATTTACTATGCCATCAATGAGTCAAGAACATCAACAACAAAAAATGCCAAAATCAATATTAAATACAATTGAAAATGAAATATTAGCATATGCAGATTCATCAAAAACAAATAATGAAACTTTTCATTTATTTTCACAATTTGATCATGATGATGAACAACCACCATTAAAAAAAATGAATACAAGTTTAAAAATATCAAATAATTCAGGTTTTAATCATATTAAATCAAATGTAAAATCATCATCTGAAAATAAATTTAAAGAAACTGTTGTTGAAAAACCACAATCATCTTTCAAGCCTCCTTTTCCACCACAAACTACATCAATATCAACTGTCAATAAATTAAAACCAACGGCAGTTACAGTTACTTCACCATCATCAATAACCGAAACTGATCTTCTTCAAATAATTGAGAAACCACTTGATGTTGATATTAATCCAGAAGGTAATTTTTTTTGATGAAATATATTATAATTCATTCAAAATATTTTTTTTCTTTCCTCTCAATAATAGATTTTACTAACGATGAATTTTTTACAACATGGTAATGATAATATATTTTCTCTTAATTGTATGCAAGTAGCTTTTTCTCAGGTGTTGTAATTTCTTTTGTTGATTTTTTTTTTACTGTGATTTATTTGTGTAATAATAAAGAGTTCATATAAATATATATATTAGCGGATCAAATTCATCTTGAAATTCGACATACATCGAGAGTAATAATCTCGGTGTAAATAAGATGGTGAAGAAAAGTTAAGCAACATCGTATTTTTTTTTTAATAATATTAAGCAACTAGCTCAAATTCAGATAATGATTTTTATAATCAATCGAGTTTTCTATGTAATACATTCTTTACTAAGGTTTCATAAATGAACTATGATGGTAAGGGTTCTAAAATAATGAACACGATAGTTTTATACGACTTTCCTTTAAAAAGTTATAAGTATCACAAAAAACGTAAAAAAACCAGATCTATTAACAACGTGTCTTTGCAGTTTTTGTGATACTTATAACTTGTTACGAAAAGTCGTGTAAAACTACCTTAACCAGTTTTTTTTTTCGAAATTTTACCATCATAGTTCTTTTATGAAATCTTGGCATAGACTTGATTAGATAGCAGACTCCATTGACTATTAAAATCAATGTCTGAATTTGAGCTAGGTACTTAACGATATTGAAATAAAAACAAAAAAAACTATGTAGTTGTTACATTTTTTTCCAGCATTTTAGTAAGAAATGTCAAAAGAAAAAGTTTTCAGGATCATAAAACGATGAGTTTTCAAAAACAGAAGACAGATCACAAGGTTTAGTTTTGGTTGGAATACTTTGTAAAACTTTAATATAAACATTTAAGTATAATTTATATATATTTGAGCAAAGTCTTGATTAATATTTGTATCGTTTTATACATTTTGAGAAAATTCGTCGTATAGAAATTCTCGATAGATTTCTTGTTTTGTTGAGCAATGAAACATACGGAAACTCTAAAATGGTTTATCGAGTTTCACATCAACAACTACAACATGTATCTTCCAATATGAGCTTCTTCTAGTAAGATTATATATAGTGTTAAAGTGATTTTAACAAAAAATATTGTCATATATGGTTCTAAAATGGAATAAATTATGTTAATAAAGTTACATCTCATTTATTATGATTTTCAAAGTCAATAAATATTCTCAACAGTTAATTCATCTACATTCACTACTGAGAGAGCACTACGATTTAGATTTGCTTTTTATATTTGTGAGGTTTATTTAAATCATTGGATTTATCTATTAGCATCATATAACATATTTTAACTGTATCAAAAGAATTTTCTTATTCTGACGAGTCAGAACTTACCTTAGCTGAGTTTCTCGTTCGTATTCTAAGCTAGTTACCTTCTATTATTCTAGTTCTTTATGTTTGACGTAAGAATAACTATCGGAATTCTATTGAAAAAATCTCAAGAAAAATAAACCATGAAAGCTGCAATCACTACTCGAATCTTGATTTTATCGAACAATGATTCAGTATTCATGATAAGACATTTGTTCAACTTATTTAGTTTTTTTTGGGTTCTTATAAAAACAAGTAGTCAAATTGAAGTTTTAACTACATGTATCAATCTTCCATATATATATATATATCTACTAAAGAATTTATCTTGTTAGACAATATTTTTATTTGTTAATATTTCATTACATCTTATTTCAATATTTTTCAATTCATCATCAGTTTCTGATACACGACGTGGAAATTTTTTAAGTACACTTCCTTGACTTTTATAACCACGACGAATTTCTGTTAAACTTTCATCGTCGTCATTATCAACAGATTCTTCATCAGATGATGACTCCAGTTGAAATTGAACATCAAATGGCAAAGATGCTTGAATATTTTTATTGGAAACAATGGTTACTGATATATTATTTCCAGTAGCTTGTCTATTTTCAATAACACTATTAAGTTTTTCTATTAAATCATTTGATATTTCTTGTTTTTCATTTTTAACATAACCAATAATAAAATAAATTTGATTATTAGTTGGTTTCAATGGATTTTCTACTTTGAATTGTGGATTAGGTGTTTGAGGAGTTTTTAATGTATTACTTTCATTTAGTACATTCTGATTTATTTGTATATTAACATCTTCATTTGTCGAATTTTCATAATGTTCTATCGATTGATTCAAATCTTGTGAATCTATATCATTATTTTCACTATCCGGATAATCATAGGAGTCAATAACTGCTTCATCAATAAATACTGTTCGAACATAAACACGTTCGTATCGACAAACAAGAACAGAAACAAGCATACCCATTGTTGCAGCACCAAATAATGCACATATACAACTAACTATTCGACCCATTGGTGTTATTGGTGTTATATCACCAAATCTAAGATAAGAAAATTTCGATTAATCAAAAATACAAAAACAAAAAGAAACAACAATCTTTTAAACGTACCCAACACTTGTAATTGTAATAATTCCCCAATAAGTTGCCGTAAAAATTGAATTAAATGTTTTATTTTGTGAACTATTTTCAGCATAATAAGCCGTAGCACCAAAAAAGAATCCGACAGCAGTTATTATAATAATCATTACGAAAAAATCAAGCAATGATTGTTTTATTGTTGTTACAAATACACGTAAAGATTTCACATTTTTAAATATTCGACCAAATTTAAAAACTTGTAATAGACGAATTATACGTAAAAATCGAAGACCAGCATACGTATCTGTATTGGCTTCATCTGCTCGATGAGTTAAATAAATACCAACTGTGATATAAAAAGGTATTATAGCAATTAGGTCAATCCAATTCATTAGAGTTTTTACAAAATCAAATAACGAAGGTGTAGTTAGTATACGTACTATAAATTCAATTGTAAAATAACCAACGCAAATAGCTTGAATAAGAAAGAAAGATGATTTAAAATATGCATGACAAACATTCAGTTCGGCCGAAGAGCTTTGAATTGTTGTATTATTCATATTGGTAATAGTTGTTGTATTATTCATATTAGTAATAGTTGTTGTATTATATTGTGTTTCACAATATAAACTATGTAAATTAGAATATTGTGGTAATGTTTCAATTGCAAGTGTTATTGTTAACATAAGAACCATGAGTATGGATATAATATGAACAATTTTTGCCATTTTTGAATAATCTGGATATTCCGTTATTCCCCAAAGACATCTTCGAATAGGATTTTTTGGTAAACATATTTTTGTAATTACTGATATATTTTCATCTTTTCGTATTTGATTAAAAGCTTCTCGTCCTAATTGAAAAAAAAGAACTTCTTCAAGAAATACATCAAGTGGAACATGATCTGGTCGTCTTAAACGACCATTTGATTGATAATAATAAAGTATAGCACCAAAACATGCACGATGACGATCAAAAAAATATTCATTACGATTTGCATCATAGTAATATTTACGTTGTTTTTCATTTCCAAGTAATGTATCAGGATAAACGTCAAGAGTTGTTCGATAAGTTTCATAACGATCACCACATATATTTATTTTAATGTGACCATCTAATGAGGATTGTTTTTTTTCTTGCTGTTTTTGAGTATGTATTGATCGAATATTAATCAAACTTTGAGAATTAACAAGATCACTATTGATAAATATGAATATAGAAATAATTTAAATATGTCTATTGATCATGTTAATATGTTGTTAAAACGAGTTTGTTGTTTGGAGATAATTATCCAAGAGCATTAAAGCATTCAAAAAAAACTTACGAAATATATGCATCCTTAAGATTTGTATTCCGATTTATGTTGTAATTTGTTAGTGATTCTCTTTAAACAAATGAAATCAATTATCTAAAAATAAATTTATATTTTATTTTCATACTCAAGTAAACTTGGTAAACGTTGTGATCGTCTTCTAGATTCAGGATCGTTAACAATGCGTATTCTAGAAGTTCGACGAGTGGGCTTTGATGGATCAATATTTTCCATTCTTTATTATCTATAAATATACTTTGACTATAATAAACAAAAGTACAATGACCTTTATTTACGTATAGACTGTATATCTATCGTTTTCTTAACATTTGCTCTCTTAGTATGACATTTGGAAGTGCTTACAAGAATTAATGTAACCATTCACAACTGTTTCGTTTACATAATCACGAGCAGAAATGATGCATAACAAAGTGAACAAAAAAAAAAAAGGTTAATATGATGCTCCGTTTAGTAGATAAAATATGGGGAAGAGAAGAAATTCAAAGACAAAGGCAAAATGTAGTGGAGACGAAACGAGTAAAACAAACGTGGGTGACATAAAAATGAGAAGAGAGAAAATAAGAAAGAAAAGGACTATGACACGGACAGAGAGAGTAACAAACAAAACATGACGGAGTTTACATAGGTGAAAGTCTAAATTATTAAGAAGCAATGATTAATGTCTTGTCTGTATATGTTTTACTCGTTTTATTCGAAACAAATGTTCACTATGATCATTTTTACTCTTATGAAATCAATGTCAATAAAATATATCGTTGTAAACAAAAAAAGCGGACAGTTTAAGTCTGATTTATTTATTGATTCGTTGTAGTCTTTTCTTTATATATAACTTTACATAATCTGTTAACGATACTTCATTTATTATTTGAAACAAATCTATTGCTATAGCAAAAGAATAATGATGAGCAAGTCTTAATTGGTTTCTAAATTTTCTCAAGAATAATTCTTTTTGGGTTTAGAGTAAGAAGGAATATAGGGCAAATATCTAAACGAAATAAGAAAAACTATAGACAAAAGCTTTTTTTTGCAAGACATCTTTCGACAGAGTTTTACCATCTTTCATCCTTATTAATTCACTAAATGTTGTTTAAATGTTTTCAAACGTCTTATCAACCAGCGGTTCTATGAACATTTTATGCGTTCAAATAAAACGTAGATATTAAAATTCTTTAACTAGTTTTAGTCTGTGATCATTCATGTATACATAACCTTCTGTATTCTGTACGTGCAAGTGGAAAACTAGCGCTATACTTGTTTGGACTAACTGATGGCATTGTTGATGTTTCTTCAGATAATTTGTTCTTTCATTAATTATTTTTGTTGTTTCATCTTTTAAAACCTTAACTACATCAGTAAGTATCTGACTGGAGGAAGCCACTACACATACAGCAAGATTACAGTGAAAAATAATGAACAAATATGGGATTAAATTACCAACTCTCAAGCAAACTATCATAATTATGGGGTGTTTTCGATGCATTTTCTACAAAGATAATTTATGCATGACGATTACTCGACCACGAACAAATTAGTTTTAACAGACACAAAAGTATACCTAATCTAAAATGCTTAACATTAAGATCCTTATGCTGCACGTTATCGTATTTATGCTTTTTAGTAGTCAAAATACGCTGATAGTAGCGAAATGTTAAACGTTAAATTAATTTTTATGTTTTGATAAACACATAGGACTCTAGTCGGGCTGTTCGGATGGGATTAAATTATTGACTTTTGTTCAGTGTTTCATTTTTTCTAAAATGATTTTCCAAAAAGATTCAAATACATTGTAAAAAGTCAAATCGCTCACATCTGATCACAATAAAGTACTTCAGATTCTAATTTATTCAATGTAATTATTTTAGCTAATTCTTAAACATCGGAATATATGCATTTGCTAAATTCGCATTGAAGCAGTTTGTTAGACCACTTATGTAACTCACTGGAAGTCGTTCAATGACATTCATTGTCCTAGTCTTGCGATTTAATGAGTCTAGTTTATTCCGTAGTTCTATATATTCTGTTTCGATCTAAATTTCATGAGCATCTGTCAAATCTGTTCATTGTGCTTTGAACTGTTCTCGGTAATGTTCGTAAAGGTCATCACTAATTTCATTCGTCTTTGTTAATGTGGCTTTGTCGGTATCTATTTTTGAAAATAGGAATGGTTTAGATTTATATGCTCAACTGAGAGATGGCTAAACTGATTTTTTTTTCTGTATTATCATGTGTTTTTTGACTTTTGAACAAAATTTTTAGCAGTATATTCGATTTATATTTTTTAAATTTCAATCTTCATTTGCTCTATCATTATATGTAACAGCAATATTGTCTCTTCATTTTAGAAACATCTTTTCTTCTCTCAAAAATACATATTTCTTAGCTTTTTCATTACTTTTAGCTTCTGAATGTGATGAAAAGGTCGTGATGGTCGATATTTTTCTAATACTTATCTTTGTGTAAATATGCTTTTTTAAGGTAACAAGAAAATACACATGATGCAAAAACTACTCATTAGCATGTTTCCCGATATTGTGCATATTCATTTCAAATTCAGATAAAACTGTGGAAAAAATTTCACACGCCTTTCTATAGACGTTGCGAAGTATTCTATTATTATCAAACTCAATCTTCTCACCAGTAATCACTAATGATCCGATCAGTTATCATTTCTATGAAGCTTCAAAATCTCTCTTTTTGTTCTTCTCCAAATCTCCCCATTTATAAAACGTTAAATCGATGTTTCTATCCCAATTTTTTGAAAAATGAGACGTTCACGAAGTGTAACAAGGACTACTTTTTTTCTAACGATTTTTTAAGTATCGACATCTTTTATCTGATAATGAAATACTCATCCCATTCTTTTATGAATGTATTGAAGTCATCATTGAATATAGTATTTTCAATGATTATAGCTCTAATTCTTCTAAATTTCTTGTCTGCTTTGCTGCCTAGTAAATAACATTTACTCTAATTGTTACAGAGCATCCAACAATTGTGTTTTCAACATTAAAATCTGTTTTCAATCCTTTCTCATATTCTCCGACTGCTGTATATACACCCTCGCTTTTATTTGTTTCATATTGATGAAAGATATTGAAAAGAAGTAATCGAATTTTATTTCACAGTTCGCTGTATTCTTAAGCTTGTAGAAGAGAGAATATTCAAAAAAGGCTTGTTCTTTTTTGCAACTTTTTAGAAGAAATATTTTCCTATTGTTTGAGAATATTTTCTAAAATACCTGCGAAAACTTTGTCCACTAGTTTCTCATCTTTGGTCTGGAATCCTCGTTTACAAAATTGTTTCTTCACTGTCACTTTATGAATAGCTATTTGAACATGGAAAAAGAATTTGATATCTTCTCTCAAACTAAAGAAACTTAGTACTCATCTATCTCCTCATATTTCGATCTTGCTCATTCTTTAAAGTGCTGTCAGCTGTTTTCAATGATTGAGACGATGAAATACGTAGAAGTAAACATGCACTGTGTTTTTGTTGAGCCATGTGATCGAACTTTAGATGAGATAATAATGGATTCAAGTTATTGAATATTTTTTTATAATTTTGACTGTTAATTCTTTGAACCTGCAACATTAATACTGATTATTGACCAGATAAAACTTCTTAATAATGATTCAAGTGTAGGCAGTAGTTTCCCTAGTGTTTTGTGTTGGTACATAGTAGCAAGAGTTGTTTGATTGACCTTTGCATTTGTACGATGTAATTTTTCGTCCATACAGTGGATATTCTCCTTCACATATATTAAATATGCTGATTGATCAACATTCATATCTTTGTTCTATACTCACTTCCATTCATATTAGTTGACACTGATAGTTGTAGTCGAGCCGGTCTTCATGGAGCAGCACCAGGTATTAGTAATGACAATGAAGAGAATTCGTTTTGCTTCATTTGAAATTACATTATCTGTGCGCAATCTTGACATAATAATTGATGTAGGTTCTCTAAAGATATTACTGTATTATCGGCTTTTTTAAAAATTAGATCGATGTTCAACCATTTTTTTCACATCCACAAGACAAAGAATAATGATGACTATCAAATTGAGTACAACAAACCGTGTTCGAAAAATCATGTATTTGATCATCAATGATATTAGCAAGATTGATACAGCAACCAGCATGCTCCAAACCTTATTTATCTCTCATATGACTTAAACACCAGCAAGGAATACAGCATATCCTTTGAGTACCACTCAGACGGAGTTTAACCCATTGAACCCGATTTGATTCTACGGGGTAGAAAATAATATTTTTCCAGAGGGTACAGCTTCAAATACAAATGATATCAACATTGAAATTTATTCCAAACGAAACCTCGTCGAAAACAGGATTTAGCAGTATAACAAGCAATTCATAGAATAACTATGTGTTAAAGAATTACCAAAAGTTCCCAAATTTTCAGACATAATTGAGTATTTTCATGGGTAGTCAACCACGAAAAACAAATAGATCTCAGGAAATGTTTCGTC